TGCAGGCGGCACCGCTTGGCCAGGGGCTGCAGGGGAAAAGGCAGGTGGGCAGCCGTCGGCGCTGCGGGCCACGGGGCCACTCCTCCAGGGTGGGGAAACTGAGGCCCCGGGACTCCCCCAGGCTGGGCGGCCCCTGTGCCCGCAGCCGCCTGGAGCGAAACCAGAGCCCACGGGCGCCTGCCAAGGGCTAAACTTAGTGCCCAGCTGTCGCTGGGGACGGGAATAAGGGGGGAAGGAGGAGGGCTGTGAGGCCGGTGGGGGACCAATGGGGTGAGCCCAGGGGAGTAGGGGGGCTGGGCGCTGACTGGGGGGGGCACGACAGGAACGAGGGGGAGATTTAAGACGCCAGAGGGGCTGGGGGGCTGACCCAAGAAGGCGTGATGGAGGGCGGTGTGGGGGCGCCTGGGGGGGCATGTGGGGACCCCCACGGGGCTGATAAGAAGGGGCGGGGAGAACTCGAGAGGAAGAGGTCGCCTCCAGGGGAACCACAAAGCAAGGGTGAGGGCGGAGGAAGCGGCAGGGAGGGGGCCGGGCGGGCCTGCAGCTCCTGGGGGCGGGGCTCCAGAAATGCAGGGCCAAGCCCCGCCCCTCCCCCAAGGCTGAGGGGGCCGGAGCCCGGAGCCTGGAGCGGTTGTCATGGAGACAGCCTGAGCCAGCTCCTGTAACCCCTGGCAACCAGGCTGCTGCCAAGAAGATGAGCTTCGGAGAACCGGGCAGCCCCTCCACCCATTTCTTGGGAAGGGGGTGAGCCTCGAGTCGGGGGGAGCACCCCCACCCCCAGGCTGGGGCCGCCAACCCCCAGCTTGACCTCTGGGGAGTCCACAAGCGAGGGGTGCATGGCTTTGCCGTCTCTGCCCTGGTCGCGGGTGGTCCGCGAGCGGCCACATCCCCTCCCCGCCGGCTCTAGGCCCCCCCAGCCTTCTGCTTCACTGGGAAGTCGGGGCAGAGGCAAGGCGGGACGGATGGGGACAGAGGGGCTCCCCTGGGCAGGCCGGGGCCTCTCCCCCATGAGGGTGCCATGGGGACGGGGGCAGGGAGAGCAGCAGCCAGACGACAGCCCATCCTCGACCTAACAACAAGGGCCGGCCTCTTCCCGGCCGGCAGAGAAAGGCCCCTTTGTTGGCGCCGGGCACTCTGTCCTCGCAGCCTCCGCCACCTCCAGCCAGGCCGGGGCGCGGCGACCCCCGCTGGTCCCCGGGGCAGTCAGGCAAGCGAGAGGCCCGAGCGCCCTCCCACCAGCCCCTGCAACAGCGACCCCTCCCCAGGCCCAGGTGCCGGTGTCACTGCCATGGCCACCCTGGCTGGCGCAGTGGCCTCGCCAGAGACGGAGCAATTGTGCTGTCGCTGCGCGGAGGCCGCACGGTCCGGCCCTGAAACCCCAGGCCGCGTTTCCTCCGAGGGAGCGACCACCAGCGTGGCGGGGCGCCCGGGCCCTCGCCACCCCTGCTCGGAGGGTGGCGCCGACCCCGGACAGGCGCGAGGCAGCGACCTGGCAGCTCCTGCCTCTCCCAGAGAGAGGCAGGCAGGGCGGCCCCGCCGCCGCTGCGAGGACGCCGCAGAGACCCGGCTCCGGGCCCAAGCGCGTCCCGAGTGGCCAAGAGGCACATGGCGCAGGCGACCCCGGCGCGTCGTTCCCGTCCTGGGCTCCTGCGGCCAGGGCCTGGCGCTGCTCAGCAGACGGCGCAGAACCCCGAGCAACCCACTGCCCGGGCCTCCTTGTCCCAAACCGACCGGAAAGGGCTCCCCCCACGCCCTGGGCGCCCTCCCCGTATCGCGCCCCCCTCGTCCCAGACTCACCCCAGCCGGGCCACACCCCCGCATCCACCCCCAGCCCCGACTCCGCGCTGACCGAAAAGGGCGCGCGGCGCCCCGGTTTGCTCCGTCCCAAGCCCCCCCACCGCCCCGGATTCCCCCAGCCCGGGGTCACCCAGGTCCCGGACCCCGGCCACACTGACCCGAAAGAGGCGCGCGGTGGCCGCCGAGCGCAGCGCGGTCCAGCCGAGCGCGCCGACCGCCAGCAGCAGCAGCTCGGGCGGCGCCAGGTGCGCGTGCTCCGCCAGGCCGCGGCGGGCCAGCCCCCAGCCGCAGTCCGCGCAGCCCCGCGCCGCCGCCAGCGCGCTGCCCCAGCCCCGCTGCACCAGCTGCGCGTAGCTCGGCATGGGCTCGGGCCCCGCCGTCCCCGCCGCCGCCATGCCGCCCGCTAGCCCGCAGTCCCCGTCGCCTGCGCCCGCCCGTCCGCGGTGGCCTCCGGAGCCGCGCGCCCCGCGTCACGCGCCGCAGCTGGGCCGGGGGCGCGCGGGCGGGAGCGGCGGGGGCGGGGCCAGCGTAAGCTCCGCCCCGGCGGGGTCGCGTCCAGGGGGACGCGGGGTGTCCCACAGGCGGACCCGCGCTCGCGCCCGTTTTCCAGCGGAGGAAACCGAGGCGCTGGGAGTCGGGGAGGAGCGGGCCGGGCGCCCGCTGGACCTGGACCGCGAGAGGCCCCGCGTATCCCCGTGGCGCGTCCCCAGCGCTCCTGCGCCCACTGGGCTCCGCCACCTCACCACTGTGTCCGCGGCGTGGATCTTGGTGGGCGCCAGCAGGCGGCACCTCGGCCGACACCCCCTCTCTTCCCAGCCCTCCAGCTCGCCTCTCCTCCAACGCTCCAGGCCAGGCCCAGACCCCACCATTCCCCCGGGCCCTCGCCGCCTCCTCGCTGGCTCAGGTCCTGGCACATCTTGGCACAGTCTCGGGACCATCCCGTGGCCTTCCCGCACTTAGCAGGCGTAGGGTAAATGCAGGTTCTCATTCTAAAAAGGAACAGGGCCCACCCGAGGTGTGGAGGCGCTGTCCTCTGCCCCATGGGACTCCTGGCCACGCCCGGCCATGGGCAGTGGGGCTCCATCCTGGACTGTGGACCGTGACACTTCCCAGGCCTGCTCCGGTCTCTGGCAGCTATGAGGGACTCAGAGACAGCCTGTGAGGGATGGGCTGCTGGAGTTGGGGGTTCCCTGGAGGAAGAGGGCTGGGTCCCCTCGCAGGGCCACTTGCTACTCTCTGCAGCCCTGGGGACCGGGCAGGCCTTGCAGGGAGGCAGAGGAGTGCGTGCTAATGTGGGGGGGGGGGCTCAGAGAAGCTGGACTGAGACCATGACCTCACTGGGACCCCCACAAGTGACCTTCCATCGTCTACTGACCAGGCCCTGGGCCCAAAGCCCCCATAGGCATCAATTGGGACATCACCTCACCTGGCACTGCTGGCCCTCGATCCCAGCACCCAGGACTCCCCACCACCTGGCCTTCAAGGTGCAGGATGCAGGGATGGGCTCGGTGGGAGCTGGGCCGGGTCCCCAACAGCCACAGGCAGAGAGGGCACAGGCAGAGAGGGCAACGGGGGCTTCCCCTCACCCCACATCCAGTCCCCACAATACACCCAGGGGCCCCACCCCGGAGTCTGGCCACCTCTCTGACCCTGCGCAGCCTGGAACTGCCCTGGGCCACCCTCCTGCTTCCTCTCTGGTGTCCCGGCTCCCTCTTCACCACACACAGGCTAGAGGAGGCTGCTGACACCGAGGCCAGCTCCTCTGCTCACCCCTCAGTGAAAGCTGGGGGCCTCCCCACCTGCCCTCAACAGCCTCCTCGGTTCCTCTGGCCTCGGCCTCCCCAATGCTCTTCCAATGGCCAAGCTCAGTCCTGCTTGGCCTTTGCACCGGCTGTTCCCTCTTCCTGGAACGCTGTTCCCCTCCATACCTGTGGGCCTGTTCCCTCACCTCCAGGCTTCATACAGATGGTGCCTACCTGGTGTGCCTCCCTGACCCCCACCTAAAACCCTCCCCCACCACCAGTCTCCCCAGCATTTGTCACCACCTGTCCCGTGTGCACCCGACTTTGTCCCGAATGCGCACTCCTGGCGGGTGGCAGTCTGTCCATCTGTGCGTTGGGTGGGCGTGACAGGCCCAGCACGTGGGCAGTGGGGCCTGACCTGGCCAGGAGTTTAGGCCCAGCCGGAGGCCAGAGATGTGACAACCTGCCCCCACCCTCCCAGCTGGCACTATCTGGTCACCATGGTGCCCATCAGTCATGGGAGAGGAGCCGCCCGCCCACCCACTGGCCCCAGCTCGGCCTCGAGTTTCTTTTTGGCGGGTCCAGCGGGAAGGCTGCCAGTAGGTGGGTGCCGGGCAGCGGCGCAAAGTGGCTCCTGAGGCCACCTGGGGAGGGGCCGGCTCCTCTCCCTCAGGAGAGCTCATCCCCAGGACCCCCTGCTGGGGGGTCTCTTCCACTGGGCAGGGGGAAGTGCCGGCGTGGGCCTGCTGCTGGAGGTAGGGTGCTCGCTGTCCTGTCCTTGGCAACCAGGGACAGGGTTCAGTTTCAGGCGGCCGCCTGGAGACAATTGAGACCGGGCCCAGGCGGGGCAGGGAAGCTGAGTGTCTTATCTCCTCCTGGAGATAAACGCAGGCAGCAGCCAAAGGGCAAAGGGCGCTGGCCCTGTCCAGCCCCCCCACACCTCACAGTCCAGGGCCACCTCAGGCCTTTGCACAGGTCTCACCTGCTGCCCGGGAGGCTTGGCCCCCAGAACCCAGCCTGGCAGCTCCTTCCCGCTCCGGTGGACACAGCTCAAAGGTGATCTCATCTGAGAGGCTCAGCCCAGCCCGCCCTCTCCTCCGCCCCTCGGCCCGCCCTCTCCTCTGCCCCCTATTGTCACTACCCTTATCACGGCAGCCAGGGCTTGCTGCCTGCGGGGGAGCTCGGGTGGTCAAGGCTGGCCGTCCCAGGGCCCGAGGGCCAAGGCGGAGACCACAGCAGGCATCCATCCTGGCAGTGACGCAAGGCGGCAGTGAGCCAGCGGCGGGGTTCGTGCTCACTGCACACAGGCCTGCCCACCACCTCCGGGCCACTCAGGGTTCTTGCTCTGAATCTGGTAGCCCTCACAACGGCTGCGTGAACTCCCCGTGCCTCAGTTTCCCTGGACTCACCCTTGGAGCCTTAGTCCCCACATGCCCCCCGCAAAGTGGCCAGAGCACAACATCGGGCGGGGGTGCCCTGGCGGTGGGGCGTTTATTGAGAGGTGGGGGCCCCGGCGCCACGCTTCTGGCCCTGAGAGAGGGCAGGGCGACGGCAGGCGGGGAGGGCACCCTCAGGGCGCGTACTGCAGCACCAGCCGGTCAAAGTCGTTCTCCTTCAGCAGGACGCCATGGCGGGGCGGGTGGGGGTGAGACAGAGACAGAGACAGAGACAGAGAGAGGATGTGAGCTCTGGGCCTTCCCTGCCCCAGCCTGGGGTATCTGGGGCTTGGGGATGGGTCGCCCACGCCGGCTCACCTTGGCCTGGTACTCCTTGATAAAGGGGTGGGACCTGTGAGAGTCCTTCAGCTGGGACAAGTATCGGTTAGTCACCTGCAGGGGAGGAGGGGCCAGATTAGCCAAATGCAGGGACCCCATGGCGCTCTGACCTGCAGGGCAGGGGTGGGAGCCCAGGTCTCCTCCCCACAGGGCTCCATGCCCCATGCTGGGATCGGGCTTGTGCCAGGTGGTGACCACCACCTGGAAGAGCACCCCGCACAGCTGGCACCCACCCAAGGCTGGCAGGCGCGCCACGGGGTTCAGGTGAGTGGTCAGGCAAGGCCTCGGTGAGGGAGGGCAGGCTGGAGGGGACGGGCTTGGGGAGGGGGACGGTCGCGTGCGGGGAGCTGGGTCTGTTGTGGGCACAGGGAGCCTTCCCCGGGCCCTGAGGATTAGAACCTGGACCCCAGGCAGAGCTGTCACTCCCAGCCTTGCCCCCGGCTGCAGGGGGCTGGAGGCATCCGTCCAGCTCTGTCTCCCTGAGGCGGGGCGGGGGCCTGGTGCTATTTTGGGGGCCAACAGCGGGTTTCCCAGCCGCTGGGGGTGGGGCTATCTCTCCTGCACCACTCCCGCCCCACCCCACCGTGCCCCGCCCTGGGACCTTTCCACAGATGGGGAATGACCATCACACAACACTGGGACCGGGGGGCTGGCCAGCAGGGTCAGTCACCCATACCGAGCAGTGCCCCAGCCTCTCCCCGCCCAGGGGACTTGAGCTCACCAGAGCCACCTCCCAGACCCCTTTCCCCTGTCCTGTCTCCTACCCGCCACCCTGAAGTGGCAGAGGCCAGGGTCCCAGCCCAGCCAGCCCTGGCCCGGGCGCCCTCTGAGCCCACCCTCGGTTGGACCCTCAGGAGCAGCTGACCCACTGCCTGTGGCTGGGGACACCTGTGCCACTGTGACGTCCAGGGGCCTGTGGGCCGATGGCAGCTGCCTGGAGCGGGGCAGGTTTCTGTCCCAACCCCAGGCCAACCCTGACGTCCACACCCCGAGACCCCAGCCTGGCCCCAGGTTGGCACTGTGGGGGCTGGAAAACCCCCAGACCTGGCCTCGGGCTGGGCTGGGGGGGCCTACCTCAGGGGGCTTGCCCAGGTGCTGGGACAGGACGATGAGGTTGATGAGCGTCTCTGGGTGGCCGCTGTCCTGGACACACGGGGACACAGGGCAGGCAGGGTCAGTGACTTCTATTGCAGGCAGGACGACGCCCACTGCTGCCCTGGAGAGGGTGTGTGACCTGCACAAGGTCACCCCTCAGAGGGGGGGTGGGCCGGGGCTGCTGGAACCAGAGTCCCCCCCACCGCCCGCCTCCCCCAACCGTTCTGCAAGACACTGACTTCAGAGGTGACACAGTGCTGAGACGCAAGCAGCCCAGCCCCCCGGTTCCGCATGCCACCCACTTCCCCTCTGCACCCGTTTCCTCATCTGTGGACCAGCCTGGGACACGCTCCCGTTTGTGGGGACTTGGGAGGGGCGTTTGTGTCACACGAGTCTCGACCTGCTGCTACGGACAAACCCCAGGGCCATGGGGTGGACCTGCCATCCCATCTACTCCCAAGGAGCAGGCCTTGGTGGGAAGCTGCTGGGAAACTACTAGAAACTTCCAGGTGGGGGACCTTACCTGGCCTGGCCTCCAGGGCACACACAACTCTGGGAACTGCCTTGGCCAGAAGACCCAGCCAGAGCCTGGCGGCTGCTCAGAGCAACACACACCACCTGGGCTACACGGAGACCTGGGCCTGCCCCAGGGAGGCCCTTGCCCGGACACCTTTACCGAGACCCGACTCCCGCGCACCTCGGCCCTGGCCTGCTCGGCTGGACGTCGCTCAGGCTCTCAGGAGCAAGTGCGGCTGCTCCGAGAGCGGGAAGCGGGGAGGGCCCCTCTAGAACACGGGCAGCCACAGTCCCAGGGAGCCCACCAGGGCCACGGGCGGCAAGCCTGCCCCAGGTGGTGGGTCAGGGCACCAAGACAGATGGGAATGGTCTAACGGGCAAGTCTCGGGACATGTCACCTGTGTGGTGTAACAAAAGCCCCTGTAGGAAGTGGTCAACACAGACTAGGCCGGGCGAGGTAGCTCACGCCTGTACTCCCAGCACTCTGGGAGGCCGAGGCGGGAGGATCGCACAAGCTCAGGAGTTTGAAACCAGCCTGAACAAGAACGAGACCCCGTCTCTACTAAAAATAGAAAGAAGTTAACTAGCAAACTAAAAATATACAGAAAAAATTAGCCGGGCGTGGTGGTGCATGCCTGTAGTCCCAGCTACTCGGGAGGCTGAGGCAGGAGGCTTTCTTGAGCCCAGGAGTTGGAGGTTGCTGTGAGCGAGGCTGACGCCACGGCACTCTGGCCCAGGCAACAGAATGAGACTCTGTCTCAAAAAAAACCAAAAAAACAAAAAACACGCAAGGGCGGGGCCCACCTGGAGGCCCCCAACCAGGCAACGGTGCGGACAGGGCAGGGTGCTGCTCAGCCCAGGCTGCCCGGATGCCGTCGTTTCCAAAGGACACTGGAATCTGCATTTTCATCCCTATTGCTGGTTCTTAGGTCTTGGCAGCTGACTGGGCATGAGAACCCGTGGGGCCACGTGGCCTCCTGCAGGTCTCTGCCCCTCCTGGTCCTGACCCCCACCCTCCGGCTACCTGGCCTTCCTGCCGTCCCGCTCTGGGGGCGGGGCCTGGAGGCGGCTGGGCCCACCCACCTTGTCGAGCGCCTCCTGCAGGTCTCTGCCCCTCCTGGTCCTGACCCCCACCCTCCAGCTACCTGGCCTTCCTGCCGTCCCCGCTCTGGGGGCGGGGCCTGGGGGCGGCTGGGCCCACCCACCTTATCGAGCGCCTCCTGCAGCACGCCCTCGGCGGCCTCCCAGCGGCCCTGGGCCATGTGGCAGGCCGCCTGCCCGTTGAGCAGCAGCAGCGTGGACAAGCACTTGTCGGCCATCTCCTGGAAGATGTAGTAGGCGTCCTGCAGCTTCTCGCCGCCCTGCGGGCACGTCCAGCGTCAGCGCTGGTCACCTGGCTGCCCGGCCCTCCCCCGCCCGGCCCCTCGCACAGCGGAGAGGCTCCAGCCTGGCCACCGCCTCGCTGCTGACACCCCTCCCCCAGCCTCATGCTCTTCTGATGAGGCCGGGAGATGCGCGGCCACCCCGCTCCCCGGCGCCCGCCTTATGGATGCGGAAACCGAGGCCTCCAGAGGGAGACTCAAGGCACAGGTGGTGGGGCCGGGCTCAGGTCACAGGGCCCGTGAGAGGTGGAGGCAGCTCCGTGGCCAGTGGCCCTGACCTGTCTACTTGCTGATGACACCGAGTGACACTTGCAAGGGGAGGCTGAGGCCAAGGTGGGCTTTGAAGAAAGGTTAAGTTTCCAGAAAGATCTGCTTGGTTTGTCCCACTAAACAGGACAGACGCTGCACACCCGTCGGCCGGGGGAGGCCCCAGCCCCCTGCCACATTGTGATGGGCCCGAGCTAAGCCGAGTCCAGGAACCAGAGGGGGCTGCTGCCAGGCAGGGCAGCCCAGGCCGGGGCCGAGGCCCCCGCAGCGGCCACGGGAACACTCGCGCCGTGGCTGGCCAGGTACCAGGAGCCCAGACAGCAGAGCTGAGGGGGGGAGGGCACACGCTGCCAGGCGTGTCGGGAGAGCCAGCCCCACCTCTGGCTTTGGGGCGCCCCCTTGCTTATTTTTTTTTTTTTTGAGACAGAGTCTCATTCTGTTGTACGGGTTAGAGTGCTGTGGCGTCAGCCTCGCTCACAGCAACCTCCAACTCCTAGGATGAAGAAGCAATCCTCCTGCCTCAGCCTCCGAGTCGCTGGACTACAGGCATGCGCCACCCATGCCCGGCTCACTTTTTCTATCTATTTTTAGTTGGCCAATTAATTTCTTAATACATTTTAGTAGAGACAGGGGTCTCCTCTTGCTCAGGCTGGTTTCGAACTCCTGACCTTGAGCCATTCTCCTGCCTCGGCCTCCCACAGTGCTGGGATGACAGGCGTGAGCCACGGCGCCTGGCCTGCCCACTCGCTCTGCCGGTCGCTCGGCTACGGAAAGCGCAAGCAGAGGCCTGGCTGAGGGAAGCCGGAGCCGCTGCCAGCGGTGCAGAGGTGG